GTTTTTGGGGCAGTTTTGGGGTGTTTTTGGGGCAGTTTTGGGTGTATTTGGGGTGTTTTTGGGGCAGGTTTTTGGGTGTATTTGGGGCAGGTTTTGGGGTGTGTTTGGGCGGTTTTGGGGTGTTTTTAAGATTGTTTTTGGGGTGTATTTGGGGCAGTTTTGGAGTGGTTTTGGGGTGTTTCTGGGGCAGTTTTTTGTGGGTTTGGGGCAGGTTTTGGGGGTGTTTTTGGGGCAGTTTTGAGGCAGTTTCGGGGTGTTTTTGGTTGTTTTTGGGGCAGTTTTTGGGGCGGTTTTTGGGGTGGTTTTGGGGCAGTTTTGGGGGTGGTTTGGGGGCAGTTTTGGGGTGGTTTGGGGCGGTTTTGGGGTGTATTTGGGGCAGGTTTTGGGGGCAGTTTTGGGGTGTGTTTGGGGCAGGTTTTGGGGAGTATTTAGGGTGTTTTTGGGGTGTATTTGGGGTAGTTTTGGGAAGTGTTTTGGGGTAGTTTTGGGGCAGTTTTTGGGGTGGTTTTGGGGTGTATTTGGGGTGTGTTTGGAGCAGTTTTTGGGTGTTTCTGGGGTGGTTTTGGGGTGTTTTTAAGGCAGGTATTGGGGCAGTTTTAGGATATATTTGAGGTGTTTCCGGGGTGGTTTTGGGGTGTATTTGAGGTGTATTTGGGGCAGTTTTTGGGTGTTTCCGGGGTGGTTTTGGGATGTTTCTGGGGCAGTTTTTTGGGGTGTGTTTGGGGCAGTTTTGGGAAGTGTTTTGGGGTAGTTTTGGGGCAGTTTTGGGATGAGTTTGGGGCAGTTTTTGGGGCGGTTTTGGTGTGGTTTTTGGGTGTATTTGGGGCGTTTTTGGGGTGCTTTTGGGGCAGTTTTTGGGGCAGTTTTGGAGGGTATTTGGGGTGTGTTTGGGGCAGTTTTTGGGTGTTTCCGGGGTGGTTTTGGGGTGTGTTTGGGGCAGTTTTTGGGTGTGTTTGGGCTGTTTCCAGGGCGGTTTTGGGGTGTATTTGGAACAGTTTTGGGGCAGTTTTTGGGTATTTCCAGGGTTGCTTTGGGGCAGTTTTGGGCTGTGTTTGGGGTGTTTCTGGGGCGGTTTGGGGGTTTCTTTGGGTGTGTTTGGAGCAGTTTCCGGGGCGGGGTTGGGGTGTGTTTGGGGTGGTTTTGGGGCAATTTTGGGGTGTCTTTGGAGCAGTTTTGGGGGCGGTTTTGGGGTGTCTGGGTGCCCGTGGCCCCGTTTCCTTGACGGCGGGGCAGCCCCGAGGACTCGATCCGCGACCTGAAGAAGCTGATCGCGGCCCAGACCGGCACCCGCTGGGACAAGATCGTCCTCAAAAAATGGTCTGGGGGGCTGGGGAGGGGTTTGGGGGGCTGGGGAGGGGTTTTGAGGGGCTTGGAAGGGGGTGGGGGAGGGGATTTGGGGGATTTTGGTGTCCCTGGGTTCGTTTTAGATGGCCCCAGGATGGGTTTTGGTGTCC